CAGGAGTCTCCACGCGGCCCGTTTTGGATGCCGATTTGAATGACATGGCTTGCGCAGAGGCTCTGGGAGAGCAAAAAACGGGCCTACTGGAAGTCCGGAAATGGGCCATTTCTGGCCTCTGGAGGGCGGGGGAAGGCAGTTTTTGCCCTCCTGGACGCTCCAGGGAAGCCTCCGGAGCCTGTGCAGGGTGAAAAATGGGTCTACCGGAAGTCTGGAAACAGGCCGTTTCTGGCCTCCGGAGGCTTCACGGAGGCCTGGTAGGCCCAAAATGGGGGTCGTACACAGGAGGGCGGGGCAGCACGGGGGAGTATTGCGTGTGCGTGCGCAGGGGGGCGGAGTGTGCATGGGGGGCATTGCATTATGGATGTGGACACGCGAGCGTGCTATCGCGCATGTGTGCACACCAGGGGTGGGTTCTAAATTTTTTTACTACCGGTTCTGTGGGCGTGGCTTATTTTGTGGGTGTGGCTTGGAGGTCATGTGACTAGGTGGGCGTGGCTAGCTGGTCAGTGTCATTTCTGGAAGGTCCTTGCACTTACGACCAGTCCGCGCACTTACGACCCGACTCATTTGTTTGCTTTTAACACTGATCAGCTGTAGGGTGGCCCTTTGAAGCCCCCCCCCCCCCCCCCCCCGGCAAGAGTTTAAACAGTTTTTTTCCCTCTAGTCATCAGCTGGGACTCAGGAGGCAGCAATAGATTGGGGGGGGACCAAATAAAAGATAAGAATAACGTGAGGGGGTGGGGGGGTGGGAGGGCAGGGGGGGAGAACCGGTTCAGTGACGTCATATCATCACCGCTACCGGCTCGGCCGAACTGGACCGAACCGGGAGGAACCCACCACTGGTGCACACTTTTGGCACCCGAGGAAAAAAGGTTTGCCATCGCTGCCCCAGATTATGTCCTGATTGGACCTGACACCGATCCTTCCCTTGGAGCCTTGTTCGAAGTGGCTTTTGATAGAGGAGGAAATCAGATTTTGTAAACTTCAAGAACGGTTTCATTCAGACAACTCCTTTGCCCTCTATAAGGCTCCGGGGATTTCAAATGAAAACGGCTTTATTTATGGTTAAAAGGATCAACTGGTGAATTTGAACTAGAAATGCCCAGTTCAGAAGAATTATGAATGATCAGAGCTCAATCAGAGAGAGCCGTGCATATGAAAAGAATGCAGGTAGTCCTCGACTTACGACCACAACTCAACCCAGAATTGCTGATGCTCAGTGAGACAGTTCTTAAGTGAGTTTTGCCCCGTTTTAAGACCTTTCTGGCCAGAGTCGTTCAGTGAACCACTGCAGTGGTTAAGTTAGTAACAGGGTTGTCAAGTGAATCTGGCTTCCCCGTTGACTTTACCTGTCAGAAGGTTGCAGAGAGAGACCCCAGGACTCCGCAACCGTCATAAATGCATGCCAGTTTCCAAGCACCTGAATTTTGATTATGTGATTACTGGGTTGCTGCAACGGTTGTAAGTGGAATATGGAATATGGAATAGGATAGGATGGAATGGAATGAAATATAGAATATGGAATATGGAATAGGATGGAATGAAATATGGAATATGGAATATGGAATATGGAATATGGAATATGGAATATGGAATAGGATAGGATAGGATGGAATGGAATGAAATATAGAATATGGAATATGGAATATGGGATTAAATATAGAATATGGAATATGGAATAGGATAGGATAGGATGGAATGGAATGAAATATAAAATATGGAATATGGAATATGGAATATGGAATTAAATATAGAATATGGAATATGGAATAGGATAGGATAGGATAGGATAGGATGGAATGGAATGGAATGAAATATAGAATATGGAATATGGAATATGGAATATACAATGGAATGGAATTAAATATAGAATATGGAATATGGAATATAGAATGGAATGGAATTAAATATAGAATATGGAATATGGAATAGGATAGGATAGGATAGGATGGAATGGAATGAAATATAGAATATGAAATATGGAATATGGAATATAAAATGGAATGGAATTAAATATAGAATATGGAATATGGAAATAGAATGGAATGGAATTAAATATAGAATATGGAATATGGAATATAGAATGGAATGGAATTAAATATAGAATATGGAATATGGAATAGGATGAAATAGAATGTGGAATATGGGATGGGATGGGATGGGATGGGATAGGATAGAATAGAATAGAATAGAATAGAATAGAATAGAATAGAATAGAATAGAATAGAATAGAATAGAATAGAATAGAATAGAATTCTTTATTGGCCAAGTGGGATTGGACACACAAGGAATTTGTCTCCGGTACTGAAGCTCACAGTATAAACACATACAACAACAAAACATAGGCATAGGTCATACATCGTAGTTAATTGGTCATAAAGTCACTTTTTTTCAGTGCCATTCTAACTTTGGACTTTGAACTGTCACTTCGAACTGTCGTAACTTTGAACTGTCGCTAAGCGAATGTTGTAAATCGAGAACCACCTGTAAACTGTCTCCGCTGAAAAAGGGTTATCCTCCTGATGTTTGTTAACGTGATCGTTTGCCTACACTACAGGGTTGGCGACGAGTAGATTCTCCGGGGCTTGATAGCGAGAGGGATTAAACCCAGGGTCCTAGACTCCGCTTCCTAGTTTCAGTCAATCAGAATAGAGCTGGAAGGGACTTTGGAGGTCCTCTAGTCCAACCCCCTCCTTTAGCAGGAGGCCCATTTCAGACAAGTAATTGTTCACTTCAGTCTCTTCTTAAAAGCCTCCAGTGATGAAGCACCCACAACTCCTGGTGGCAAGCTGTTCCACTGGTTAATTGTCCTCACTGTTAGGAAATTTCTCCTTAGTTCTAAGATGCTTCTCTCCTTGATTAGTTTCCATCCGTTGTTTTTTGTCCTGCCCTCTGGTGCTTTGGAGAATAGATTGAGTCAGGGGTGAAATGTAAAATTTGTTACTACCGGTTCTGTGGGCGTGGCTTGGTGGGGGGTGGGGTAATGTGACTGGGTGGGCGTGGCCAACTTTTTTTTTTTTTTTTTTACTTTTCAAAGCATTTTTTCTAATGCTTTGAAAAGCCTCTGCCGATCAGGCAACGCAACTGGGATCGTCAGAGAGGCTTTTTAAAAAATGCTTTGAAAAGCCACTCTGACGATCAGGCAACTCAGCAGGGTTCATCAGAGACTTTTCAAAGCATTTTTTTTCCATCTCTTCGGCCAAGAGGTTGCAGAAAAAAATGCTTTGAAAAGCCTCTGAGGATCCCAGCTGAGCTGCGGGATCATCAGAGGCTTTTTTTTTTTACTTTTAAAAGCATTTTTCCATTGGAAGAAGTTGTAGAAAAAATGCTTTTAAAAGTAAAAAACAAAAAAAGCCTCTGATGATTGTGTGGCTCAGCTGGGCATGGTGGGGGGGGGCAGGGATTTTTGCTACCGGTTCTCCGAACCACCCACTGCCATCGCTACCGGATCAGGCGATCCGGTCTGAACCGGGAGCATTTCCGGGAGCTGGATTAAGCCCCTCTTCTTTGCGGCAGCCCCTCAAATACTGGACACCCCACTCCAGTCTTTCTTTTCTCTAGACTGGCCAAACCCAAATCCCCCAACGGTTCTTCATATGTCTCCAGGCCATTTAATCGTTTTAGCTGCTTTTCTTTGCACTTTTTCCAACATCTTTTTTGTAACGTGGTGACGAAAAGTGGATGCAGAATTCCAGGTGTGGCCTTAACTAAAGTTTTATAAAGCGCTACTAATACTTCAAATGATTCCTCCATGCTTATGACATGGTGTGTGACGTACAGGCGGCCCTCGACTTACCACCATTCATTGAACAACCTGCTCAAAGTTACCACAGCATGGAAAAAAGGGACTAGCGGCCAGTCCTCACACTTACGACCATCGTAACATAGAACTAGCAACAGCACTTCTTAGACTGATATACCGCTTCACAGTGGCTTTTAAAACCTTCTCTAAGCGGTTTACAGAGTCAGCCTATTGTCCCCAACAATCTGGGTCCTCATTTTACCCACCTCAGAAGGATAGGAGGCTGAGTCAACCTTTGAGCTTAGTGAGATTCGAACTGCCAAATTGCAGGCAGCCGGCAGTGCAAATAGTACTGCACTCTAACCACTGCGCCACCATGCATCAAGCATCCCCACAGTCATGTAATTAAAAAAATCGGATGCTTGGCAGCTGGCATATGTCTACCACAGATTGCAGGATATACAGTATCCCAGGTTAAAGATAAAGGTAAAGGTTCCCCTCGTACATATATGTGAGTCGTTCCTGACTCTAGGGGGCGGTGCTCATCTCCGTTTCAAAGCCGAAAAGTCAGCGCTGTCCGAAGACGTCTCCGTGGTCATGTGACCGGCATGACTCAGCGCCAAAGGCGCACGGAACGCTGTTACCTTCCCACCAAAGGTGGTCCCTATTTTTCCACTTTTTAACTGCTTTCGAACTGCTAGGTTGGCAGAAGCTGGGACAAGTAACAGGAGCTCACCCCGCTACGTGGCACTAGGGATTCGAACCTCTGAACTGCCGACCTTTCGATCAACAAACTCAGCATCTTAGCCACTGAGCCACCGCATCCCGAATCCCAGGTTAAGATATATCTTTTTTTTTTTTTAAATGTGGTGATCAAAACCAGATGCAGTATTTCAGGTGGGATTTTACTACCTGTAAGGTTTTATAAAGAGGTTAAATGCTTTCTGCACACAGAGACGACATCACAGGTGGTATTCAGCCGGTTCGTATCGGTTCAAGCAAACCGGTAGTGGAGATCACAGGTGGCCCGCCCACCCACCCCAGTGCTATGCCGTCCTATTTAGGCATGTTTTCAAAGGTGGGCACAAGTGCGGAAGGCGCGCGAGCAAGCAAAGCACATGCATGGAAGGCCGGGCGCATGCACGGAAGGCGCACGCATGAAGCAAGCATGTGCGTGCGCAGTGAACCGGTGGTAAGAATATTGGAAACCCACTGCTGGACGATGCGCTTAATGTGCCTTCTGCTTCCATTTCAGGGTGCGCTTTCCTGACCTACTGCGCCCGAGACTCTGCTATCAAAGCTCAGACTGCCTTACACGAACAGAAGACGCTTCCGGGGGTAAGTGTGGGAATCTGACAATTTTGCAGGGGGGGACCCATTAAATCTTGGAACGATTTCAGTTTTGCGTCATGTGCCAAAATGTGCTTGGAGAATAGAGGAATGTTCCTGGGATTTTTTTCCCCCATTGGCGTTAGCTCTGCAAAGTAGTGCAGACAAAGTTCACCATCAATTTCTTGCATTTCTTCATTTGAGATAGGAGGCCAAGGGCTGTCTGAAAAATCTGGTTTTTCTGTGTCCAAACCTTTGCCAATGAATTCCAATTTTTCAAGCACCCCGAATTTTAGCTCAGGTTGAACGGCAGACCTTAGATGTTTTATTCATGCTTTTTTTAAAACTATCGATCTGTCTATCATCTAAATATCTATCTATCTCTATCTCACCTATCCACCTACCTACCTACCTACATCTATCATCTATCCATCCATCAATCCATCCATCCATCATCTATCTATCTATCTATCTCACCTACCTGCCTACATCTATCTATCATCCATCCATCCATCAATCCATCCATCAATCCATCCGTCCTCTATCTATCTATCTCACCTATCTACCTACCTACCTACCTACATCTATCATCTATCCATCCATCCATCAATTAATCCATCCATCCATCATCTATCTATCTATCTAACTATCTATCTATCTATCTATCTATCCATCCATCCATCCATCCATCCATCCATCCATCCATCCATCCATCCATATCTATCTATCTATCTATCTATCTATCTATCTATCTATCTATCTATCTATCTATCTATCTATCTCACCTATCTACCTACCTACCCACCTACATCTATCATCTATCCATCCATCATCTATCTATCTATCTATCTATCTATCTATCTATCTATCTATCTATCTATCTATCTATCTATCTATCTATCTATCTATTCCCATTCACAGCTAAATATAATACAGGTAGTCCTCGAGTTATGACCACAATGGAGCCCAAAATTTCCATTGCTAAGCAAGACAGTTGTTAAGTGAATTTGTCCCATTTTACAACCTTTCTTGCCACAGTCGTTAAATGAATCACTGCCAAAAAATCTGGTTTTCTGGTGTCCAAACCTTTGCCAGTGAACTCCAATTTTCAAGCACCCCGAATTTTAGTTCAGTTTGAACCTTAGAAGAAATTTTGTTCACAATTGTTTTTATTTATTTATTCATTCATTCATTCATTCATTCATTCATTCATTCATTCATTCCCCACTCACAGGTAAATATAACACAGGTAGTCCTTGAGTTACGACCGCAATGGAGCCCAAAATTTCCAATGCTAAGCAAGACAGTTGTTAAGTGAGTTTTGCCCCATTTTACAACCTTTCTTACCAATGTTGTTTAGTGAATCACTGGAGTTGTTAAGCGAGTCACATAGTTGTAAAGCGAATCCGGCTTCCCTATTGACTTTGCTTGTCAGAAGGTCGCAAAAGGGGATCACGTGACCCCGGGACACTGCAACCATCACAAAGGTGAGTCAGTTGGCAAGCATCACGTGACCCGGGGGATGCTGCAACGGTCGTAAATGTGAAAAACTTCAGTGCCATTGTAACTTTGGTCACTAAACGAACTATTGTATGTCGAGGACTACTTGTATAGCTCTATGTTTGTTGCAAGAATCTTGCAAAGGTGAAATTATTTCTTCCTTTTCTTTCAAACTCTGGAAAATTAGAGAGGGTCCCTTCTGAGATGCTTCCCACATCCCTTTTCCTTTGGTGGAGCTGGAAAATTTTTTACAGGCAGACTTGTGAGAAACAGTCATAAGTCTCTTTTCCACTGCCGTTGTAACTTTGAACGGTCACTAAACGAACTGTTGTAAGTCAAGGACAACCTGTATCATCGTTTGTAATCTTCTTCGAGCACAGAAATTGAAAAGAATGTTACTTTTTTCAGCAGATGGAACAAGAAAGAAACAGATACAGATTAATAGAGTTGGAAGGGATCTTGTAGGTCATCTAGTCCAACCCCACGCCCAAGCAGGAGACCCTACACCATTTCTGACAGTTGGCAGTCCAGTCTCTTCTTGAAAGCTTCCAGGGATGAAGCTCCCACAACTCCCGAAGGCAACTTCTGTTCCATGGGTTGATTGTTCTCACTGTCAGAAAGTTCTTCCTTATTTCCAGGTTGAATTTCTCTCCTTGATCAGTTTCCATCCATTATTCCTTGTCTGGCCTTCAGGTGCCTTGGAAAATAATTTGACCCCTTCCTCTCTGTGGCAGCCCCTCAAATATTGGAATACAGCTATCCTGTCTCCCCTGGTCCTTCTCTTCACTAGACTAGCCATGCCCGGTTCCTGCAACTGCTCTTCATATGTTTTAGTCTCCAGTCCTCTACTCTTCACACTTTCTTTCTTTTATCCTTCTGCCACTCTTTTATAAATAGTAAATGGCAGAGGCTGCCTTCGGAACCAGCAAAATGTTGCTTTAAAAATGCAGACTAAATCAATGAAAATTAAGAACTTAGCAAACGTTATTTTAGGAATGTATAAACCTCTGCTCAAAATGATTAGTATGTTTCTAAGAACTGCTCCTTCGCCCCCCCCCAAATTGTAATAGTTAACGTGAATAAGTCTCAGCAGGCGACACACTTAGCTCAGCTCAGAAAGCTAAGCTGGACCAGTTATTTAGAAGGGAGACCACTCAGAGATCACAAGGCTGTAGCCTAGGCCAGGGGTCCCTAATCTTTGCGGCTTGGCAGACTGTCTTGGGGTGGGGGGGGAAAGGGGAACTGGGCCACACAAGCACGAGTAGCAAACTGGTGTGCACCGGTCTAGTTCGACTTGCACAAACGGTGGGCCAGTGTATGCGTGGGCTCGCCGGCCCACTGCTCACACAAATTGAGCTGTGTGCACACATACGCTCCGGCCATCCACTCACGTGGCCCAATTCCAAATAGGCTGAAGCCCAGTCATGGGCCGTGGCCTAGGGGTTGGGGACAGTGGTGGGATTCAAATAATTTAACAACCGGTTCTCTGCCCTAATGGGTGGGTGGGCATGGCCAGGGGGTGTGACAGGCAGCACTCGGCCTCTTGCATCCCCCCTTGGACCAAAAATGGGCCACGGGGGGCACCCTCACCCCTATGCCCCATTTTGGGCCTAGTAGGCCTCTCTGCAGCCTCCTGGGAGCCAAAACGGGGCGCGTGGGGACTCCTGGAAGGGGCGGGGCGGGGCCAGCAAGAAATTTAATAACCGGTTCCCCCAAACCGGCTTAATCCCATCACTGGTTGGGGACCCATGGCCTAGTTTGTGTCACTTACTTTAATTATCTTAAATCAGCTTCAATTTTAATAACATCATTTTGGTTTTAGTCCGTCCCCACCCAATTTTTTAAAAATTTTGAACCACTTTTCACTTTTAGGAGTGAAACCTCTTCGTGCCTTTGTTTTACAGGTTGTCCTCTACTTACAGCCATTCATTTAATGACCGTTCGAAGATACAACGGCACTTTAGAAAAGTGATCCTCGCTTATACTGTTTTTCACACTTACGACCGTTGCGGCTTCCCCACAGTCGTGTGATCAAAATTTGGACACACACCCCTGACCACCGACTCATATTTATGACGGTGGCAGTGTCCCCAGAGGTCATGTAATCCCCTTTTCCGACCTTCTGACAAGCAAAGTCAATGGGGAAGCCGGATTCATTTAACAACCATGTTCCTGACTTAACAATTGCTTAACAACAGTGTTATTAATTTAACAGCCGCAGGATTCAATTAATAACTGAATCAAAAGTTCGTAAAATGGGGCAAAACTCAACAACCGTCTTGCTTAGCAACAGAAATTCTGGGCTCAACTGTGGTCATAAATTGAGGATTACCTATATACTCAGGCAATTAGTTCCTACTATTCCTATTGGGGGTGGAAAACAGCTGTTTCTTTTGTGAAAGGGAAGAGCTGACCATTTAACGGAATAACAGAATCACAGAGTTGGAAGGGACCTTGGAGGTCTTCTAGTCCAACCCTTTGCTCAGGCAGGTAGCCCTATATCCGTGTTGGTGAACCTATGACAAGCGTGCTGGACGTGGCATGCAGAGCCATTTTTCCGGGCACGTGAGCCGTCGCCAAGCTCTCCTGAAACTGCCCATGCGCACGCGCCCCAGCTGCTATTCAGGCCTCTGGTGCGCATGCGTGCAATTCAGGGGACAGAGCTGCTCTTCGGAGCTCTCCTGCGCATGCACACCAGAGGCCTGAACAGCAGCATGTTTGCGCATGCATGTCAGATTGTGTGTGCATGCGCAGATAATGTTTGCGCACGTGCATTGCGTGCATGAAAGCTGTGCACATGTGCATATGGTGCGGTTGCATGCACGGCATGTGGGGAGGAGCCGCACATTACCGCGGATGCACGCGAGTGTGCTCAGGGCACAAAACGCGTTCCTGCTCGGCACTTGGTAAGTAAAAGGTTCGCCACCGCTGCCCTATACCATTTCAGACAAATGGTTGTCCAATCTCTTCTTAAAAACTTCCAGTGTTGGAGCATCCACAACTTCTGGAGGCAAGTTGTTCCACTGGTTAATTGTTCTCACTGTCAGGAAATTTCTCCTTTGTTCTAGGTTGCTTCTCTCCTTGATTAGTTTCCACCCATTGCTTCTTGTCCTGCCTTCAAATGCTTTGGAGAATAGCTTGATTCCCTCTTCTTTGTGGCAGCCCCTCAAATATTGGAACACAGCTATCATGTCCTTCCTAGTCCTTCTCTTCCTTAGACTAGACCAGGGGTGTTAAAATCAAGGCCCGGGGGCCGCATCCGGCCCACAGGGTGCTTAGATCTGGCCCGCAGGGCTGCCCTGGAAACAGTGCCTGCAGTGCCTCTGCTAGCGAAAACGGAGCTCGTGGGGGCTGCGCGCGGCCCTCCCCAACTCCGTTTTCTCTGGCAGAGAGTTGCAGGATGCCGTCCCAGCTGAAAACGGAGCTTGGGAGCCCGTTTTCGCTGGCAGAGCACTTGGGCCACCACAAGCGCCCCCAACACGAGTGATGTCATGCTGGCCACGCCTGCC